AGATGTGGATAAGAGACAGGAAATTATATATGTATAGGGCTATATTTTATTATTATTATTATTATTATTATTATTATTATTATTATTATTTTACAATCCAAATTATATTTCAATTAATCAGTCAATAATGATATAGGCTAAGTATGGAAACAATAACAAATTTTGTACACTTTTTTTCAGGCAAGTGTTAGAATCTCAAAAGGACGGGCTTTCAGAACAAGTGCTAGAAGAAACAGAGCAGTTCGTGACAGACGCATTCATCGAAGTCGGTCTACCGAACTATGCAAAGAATCTGCCAACAGAATATAACGAACAACTAGCTGAGCAATTTAGAATTTTCACCTACGATGCGATATTTTACTTGATCAATAAAATCAGTGATTATATTTTTTATGATCTTATATTAAAATACCCAGTTACAGAAGTTGGCTCTGAATTCTATCACACAATAATCGATGGGGCCACGGATGAACTTTCTTTCCAGATCGGCATTATAACTGACACGTTGACTGAAGCTGTTCAGCTCACGTACCCTTCACATAATTTCACCAGAGAAAATGCGGAAAATTACAATGAAGTACTGATGAAGAATATACTGAAGTCTGTGTATCCTAGGATCAGAAATGCCAGTTTAGAAGTAGGAGCAACGATTTATACTACTAGCGATCTGGCATCATTAACATATGGATACATGGTGTAAGTGTTTTGGTGTTTATATAAAATTTAAAAAAAATCTTGGGGTACGTGGCAATAGCTTGAATTAAAACTATATGTGTGAGTCACCGAAGCGGAGCAGGCAGAATTGGAGAACAAACCAACTGCTATAAACAAGACATGTCGTATACCGATACACTTGGTAGACGCTTGGCTTGATTTTTTTTTTTTAGGTTCGTGTGCAAAAAAAATCCTATTTTTTTCGTCACCGCGGAAACATCGCGCACCGCGATAAAAATTGAATTGTCATTGAAAGTTACTTTCGTAAAACAAGGTTAATTAGAACTTGAAGAAATTTACCTTAAATTAAATATTAAGTATGACAAGTAAGCAATTCCTTGAATCAATGAACTCTAATAATCCAAACGAACTGAACGTTTAATAGGAACATTCTAGACCTATTTTAAAGACTCAAGAAACGAAATTAGATGTAGGCCTACGGCCAGGCACAGGCAGCAGGCCGCCGAGGTCTTCTCCTACTACTAGCCTAGGCATAGGTACAGGGGCGTACCGTGGGGGGGGGGTCGATGGGTGCGGTGGACCCTCCTTTTAAAGAAAGTGCCCTTTAAATCTAGCATAAAATTGAAAGGAAAATACAAAATGTTACTTTAAGTAATTATATGTTCCCTATAATATCATTGTTTATTTTTCAATACAGTATATACATTTATAACTTTATTTTTAAAAAAAATTAAAAGTGGGACGATCTCACGAAAAAGAAAAAAAAATTTTTTTCTGAAATTCTTTAATCTGAAATGCTACAGGCCTGTATTCAGGAGTTTCGCAATCCAATAGGCTGGTGGTATATTGAGTGAATATAGTCTGGTGTTGCCCAAAAACTACGTTTACAATTAGGCCTATTTTGTCAGACTTGGTATTGAACTTAATGCACTAGAACGTAAAAACGTAAATTTTTCCCCTTTTGCGGTCCCCTAGCCCCAGCCTAGTTGCTCGCTTCACTCACAAATAACGCACCCCACGAATGCTGAAAGCTTCGCTAAATTGCTCCGAATTCAGCTTTCCCCCTGCGCTTTGGTTTTGACCCCCCTTAGATTTTTCACCGTACGCCCCTGTGTTATGAAATCATCCAAAGATTTTTACCTGTCTGCACCGAACAAAAAGTTAGTGACAGTGACTGTATTCTCTCTCAAATGCTTTGAAAAATGTTTATTACTTTGACGAATGTGAAAAATTACAAACAAGTTCTCCTAACACGATACAAATTACAAATAGCCTAGTTGTTCGTTGTATCCGTATTATAACTACTGCTGATGTGTAGTTAACGCGTAGGCCTACTGCAGGAGTACAGCACACAAAATATAAACACGCACACAGTATACTGATCATATCACTACAGCAACCGATGACTTGTACAACACAGTTGGTTATAAAAACTAACATTAAAAGACGGCGATTGATAAAGCAATTAGTAGAGCATGCATCATACACTAGCGGAAAATGATTATACTTAGGTTAGATTTAATACATTCAAAAATTTCCTTCGGGCCTTGCAGGCCCTCGGGAAATTTTTTCAAGCATTAAATCTAAAATTCGTATAATAATTTTCCTATAGTGTACTAGGCAGAGCTCTAATTGCCTAATATAGTTGATTTTTGGTTATGACAAAAAACACAAATTTAATGTGTTCGTCGGGTCAATCCGGACACTTCCGGTTGATGCATGGAAAGCAAGATTCCAGGTACGAATCCCGGTTTATGGGCGATTCCCCTTCATAACCGATTACATATGTTATACACATTCATCAATCACACGAGAGTCTATTTACGAGTAACATTTCTCAGGGATATATATATATATATATATATATATATATACTGTCTCTTATACACATCTAGATGTGTATAAGAGACAGGTGTGCGTGTTTATATTTTGTGTGCTGTACGCCTACGAGTTTTTCTCAATCATTTGTAAGTATCAATTGACCTTTTGACATATTATAGGTGGTATTAAACTGGTGGTGTTTACTCCATTCAACTGGTATAATAGTAAACTGTGACATAATATTCAGTAATAATAGTAATAAAGAAATAATTAATAAAATTATAATAATTGTGCGGTCATAAACGTCTGTAGGCCAACTAATTTTTCTCTATTGGCAAATATTCTCGTTGATCATTTTCGTTTTCTTTCCTTTTGTTAAACGAAGCTATAGGATTTAAAAACGATTTTGAAAGAAATTTGACATTAGTTGTCAGTTGTCTCACTTGCAGTTTTTTAAAAGCAGACGTGATATCTCTGGGTTGTCAATTTTCTTGTCCATTATGCTTGACGATTGTTCCACTTCTCTCTCTCTAATCGAACTTTGTTTCCTCGCAGAGTTGACACAAGGCAAGCCTCTCTCCCATTCTAAGTCGGTTCTGCACTCATGTTAAACCTACCCTTCCATTGACAAGTTTACAGGCTGTGGAATAACTTTCCATTCTGTTATTGATTCTTCCACTGAACAAACTTTCAGGCATGGCTGAAGTGTGCACCTTGACTCGTCTACCTGTTAACTCTTTGTTGTAATGTAATGTAATGTAATTTATATAGCGCTTTATACCTAAGTCTCAACGACCTCCAGGTGTGGACTAGACCGCACAGAAACGTTCTTCTCCCCTAATGGTTTCTTCGTGTCCGAGCTATACGGTAAACCGATACCAGCTATCTCTCGTCTGTCCACAACAGGTGCTGTATGAACCATTACAGGTGCTGTATGAACCAGTACACCGGTAGGTAACACCCTACTCGTCTCGAAAGATGTACTTGATTCTTTATAGTCTACACGAGCCATTGTTTTATCTCTCTCTCGTTCATTCTCTCTTGTTGTTTTGTTTTTTTGTCTCAACGACCTCCAGGTGTGGACTAGCCCGCACAGAAACTTTCTTCTCCCCTAATGGTTTCCTCGTGTCCGAGCTACACGGTAAACCGGTAAGAGCTATCTCTCGTCTGTCCACAACAGGTGCTGTATGAACCAGTACAGGTGCTGTATGAACCAGTACACCGGTAGGTAACCCCCTACTCGTCTCGAAAGATGTACTTGATTCATTATAGTGTACACGAGCCATTGTTTTATCTCTCTCTCTCGTTCATTCTCTCTTGTTGTTTTGTTTTTTTGGGGTTTTTTTTTTTGTTGCTCTTATTGTATACTGTAGCGTGTCACTGCTGAAGAGTAATGTTTCTTTTAAAAAAATACACAAATACACATACTGTAAACTGTATTATGTACTCTACAAATACACACCGATACCATATACCAATACCAATGAATATGCATGATTTATATAGTATGATTTTAATGAAATACAATTAAATAGAGTAACCTTGAAATTGTATTAATTTCAGGTGATCTTGGTGGCGCTCTTGGACTATTCTTTGGAGCCAGTCTTGTGGCATTTGTTGAAGCCATAGACTTTTGGTTTATTAAAAGATGCTGCGGACCCAAGAAGAAATGAACAGTCAGTCACTGCAGTGAATTATAACAGTAACACACTGGTTTGTTTCTCAAAACTAATTGGTCTGTTAGCATAAAATCAATTCTAACGTCATAAGTATAATTTTTTTTTTTGCTCTTCTCGTATACTGTAGCGTGTCACTGCTGAGGAGTAATGTTGATTTAAAAAAAATACACAAATGTACATACTGTAAACTGTATTATGTACTCCATGCAAACCTTCAAGAAATATAAGTAGAATAGTTAAACATTTGTCAAACAGGAAATAAATCAACAGTTGTCGTTGTTGAAGATCAAAATTTGAATTTGAAGGTGCTTAGAAAATGTTTCCTTTTAGATGGGCGCTTATTTGGACTCTCCAGATCTTTAATCACTGTAAATACTTTACAACGTTTGTCATTGTAGACATCAATTGGTTAGCGTTACAAAATATTTATATACTAGACTTCCCCAAAGTTCACAAGTAGTTATGACTTCGGAATCGGAGAATCTTTGAGTGTGATGAGCTACTTTAAATTTCAATACAGTAAAGGCCTATTGTAAATAGTTACAAATCACGAGTTTATAGTAAATTTAGATTACTGCAAATAGCATTAGTAAGGTCATGTTATTTGTGAAGTCAGGATTAATACTACCAGCAGTTTAAAACAACACTGCTTGTGCTTTGTTTACTCAGTGCTAATGGACCTTTCCGCTAAGCCCCGCCCCTTCGATATTGTTGCTAGGGTCGCATTGATTGTGATGAGCTTTTTCTAAATTTCATTACAGTATAGGCCTACTGTAAATGGTTATAATGGTTATAATTCACGAGTTTGTAGTAAATTTAGATTACTGCAAATAGCATCAGTAAGGTCATGTTATTTGTGAAGTCAGGATTACTACTACCAGCAGTTTATAACACTGCTTGTGCTTTGTTAACTCAGTGCTAATGGACCTTTTCGCTAAGCCCCACCCTTGGATATTGTTGCTATGCTCCCATAAAACAATAAACGTACGTAAACCACCAATGATCTCTACTATAAGCATCAGGATTGCTCATCGGCTGGTTTTAAAGTAAGACCACCGGCGCCATTTGTAAATGCTAAAGTGACGTACCAGTCTAGTCAAGTTTTTGTTGACATTGTATAAATTAGTGTTAAAAATAAATATTGTTGTAATACATAGAACTAGGCCCTATTAATAAACAATTTACATATTATAAAATGTCTTTTTTTTCACATCCTATAATCACTCAACGCACCTGTTTGTGCAGTTTAAAAGAGCGTAAGTGAAGTTACGTTGATAGTGATTGATGTCACTATGACAACGCGACTTCGCTCATGCTTTTGTAAACTGCATAAACAGACCCATCAAGTGGCTACAGTAGATAATTTGAAAACAATCCTTACGTTAAATTTAAATTTATTATTAAAATGTATTGCAAAAATCGTTATTTTTAACAATAAATCAAACAATTAATGCCAAAAGAAACTTGTCTAAACTGGTACGTCACTTTGGCTCCCCAAAATTGTCAGTGGCTTCACATTTTTTTC